CCAGCCTTGCTTTGGTGCTCAACCCGAGCCGCCAAAATGCTTTGCCTTAACACCGCTTGCTACGTTGGATCGGCTATTGCGGGATCGCCGTCATGTGGATGTGGCGAGACCAAAAGCCAAGGCTAAAGTTCCATCAAGCATCGACAAGCTTCGTTCACGGCGGCTGCCATGATTAGTAACGGCCTTCGTATCCTCCCATGAGCCGCACACCTTTGTCCGCTTGCGGCCCAAATGTGTCTGCAACGGGCACTATCAGCCTCAGTGCGGCTGAGTTAAGCAGAAGCTCGAATATCCGCCAAGCTTTTCACGCAGGCGATTGGCAATTCGGTGGCACTGAGCGTGGAAGGATAGTTCTTGGCGCATCGTTGTGTACGCCGGCAGGTGGACTGAGCTGCACAAGTATTATGCTCCGCGGTCGAGCTCCGAAGCATTACCGGCTGCAAGCAGTTCAGGAGAAACACGCTTTGCTCTGTAAGCTTACTACACCTCTAGCCTAACCCAGCGTCCCAGATGCCACAGAGAATATCGTTGTAGCAGGGGTGCAAATCGAAGCATCTCGCTGCGGATCTAAAATATTTCCGAGTATTCGCCGTTGAGCTGAGGTGTATGCATATTGAGGAGTAACTCGTGTGCGTTGCTGTCAGCCTAGGCCATAACCTGGTCTGTCGTACCTCCCGGACATTACGCTGTCGCTCCCCAATACCCGCCGAACTTGCCTGCAATCTTCAGCCACTCTGCAGATCGTCGCAAGTTCGGATCCTTTTGGATGGATCTGAGTGTCTCATCGCGCGTCACGTAACCGTGTTGGTTGCTTGGTCACATCGATACACGGATGGCACGCCAACTGGTCCAGTCAAGTCCAGCTTTCATGCAGGAAAGGTCTTCATTCCCTCGTACAGAAGCTGACCAAAGTGGCCAGCCGCACATGTTGCTATAACATGGCGGCCACCGATGCAGCGAAACTTGCGATCAAACATAGAATTCTGGCAGCCCTCCCCCTTAGCTACAACCTCAAGTGCATTTCCGGAAACGGTGGTGTAGGATCTGTGGCAACGCATTCGACGCTTCCTTTCTCGACAAGAAGTACCTCAGGTCCACAGTGCGAGTACACTACCTCGCCGACAAGGACGAAGAACTTTCGCAAGTACGAAGCGGAGAGAGCCCAGGGGTCGAAGGCTCTGTGGTTGAAACAGCGGACCACGCTGAACCTCATTCAAGATCTCGTACCGACAGCGGTACTGCGCTCGGCAGTACTCTCAGTAATCCTGGCCGAGAGAGGCAGGGCGCAGTTGGATAGCAGCCTTGTCGTTGCCGAGGTGCGATGAACGGTCCTCGCACAACGTCGAACGAATTGCGGCGCGGAGCAATGGTCAAGCCTCAAAACTCTGAAACTCGCTTGCCCGACATATGGTGGGACTCCTCGTCCTCCAGATGGAGCAACTCAAGCACACCTGAGAGCGGCGGGTTAGAGCAGCAGCATAACCAGAGCCCGCCATTAATCCGCCGGAAAGCTTCAAAGGCCGGCACTCGACTACCAAAAGCATGGGAGATCATGCGAATGGACTCCGTGGAGGATGACCCAACAATTCGTCCTCCCGACGTGCACTGGGGCTACGCCTCATCTCAGTCAACCGGCCCTAGCACACCGGATAGAGCTGAAGGGGTGCCGCAACGGCGACGGATTGTGCCGAAGTTGTTCGCGGCGGAGGGTTGTTTGTGTTGTACGTATGTAGTCGAACCAGAACGGAGATGAGTCTCCAGGATATGACTTGGCCATGGTCTGCTTGCGTGGACTTGTTTGAACGTGACGTCTTCAGTCTTCTTTCAGCGAGCTAGCGGCAGTGTTCTTTGTGATGTGAGTGCCTCACTCTCGCGCTGCCTCCTCTTACTGACCGCCTTCTTGTGCGCTTTGCTCCCCACATGCTTCCGCCACTGATCTTCGATCACGCAAGTCACGTCGCAAGCCTCACAATACTGCTTCGTCCAGTCTTCCGAAGCATCCACGCCTCTCTTAAGCTGCAGCATATCCGCCGCAACCTGCGACATGGAAGAGGGTTCTGGCATCGGTTCAGCATTGAGGAATGCCGAGGTAAGCGAGACAGCAGGCTCAACAACATTAGCATCAAAAGCAGCGACATCCGATGCATCAAGTAGGTACAGCTTGTCCCTCGAAGGAAGTGAATCAAACAGCTTAATCTGTATCCATCGCAGCTGGCGCTTGGCATATTGTCTCGTGGCCGCTTTCGTGGCTCCCACGGCTTGAGTCTTGAGGCGCTGCAAATCCTTCTCGCGCGAAATCCCGGCTTGCAACGCGGGGACGTATTCCTTGAACTGTTTGTACCCGATGCTGACCCAGATCCCTCTGCTGTCGTCCAGTGGTCGGCCAGCAGCAGCCTTAGTGTCGGCGTAGGCGTTCAGCATGCGGACTTCATCCAGTAGGCCAGCATCTAGCATCTTGTCTACACGACTGTCGAGGCGCCCGCGTAGGGTATCTTGCTCTGCGTGCGCCCAGAAGAGGAGGGTCGGGAAACGCATATTACCGTCCTTATCCTGATCGCTACTAGCAGTGTCGCCATCCTTGCGCTGCCGCTGCTCAGCATATACTTCCGATGCTTTGCGACCAGACTTCAGATAGATTTCTAGGCTCCGTCGGATCTTCCGGCGGTCATTGGGATGCCATCGCTCTGCCATGACCGGGTCCACTTTCTGTAATTCTGCGAGCAATACTTCTGTTGACTGCTCAAGAAGAGGATATTCCGTGTCTGATAGCTCTACTTCTTTCTCTGTAACCTCATCACCACTTTCCGCATGAGTCTCTGCCAGACCCTCCTTGAAGAACAGACTCTGGGTATAGTAATGCGTGCCACCCACCAATATCGGTAGCCTGCCTCGAGCTCTGATCTCTTCAATGATCTGCACGGCCTTCTTGACGAACGTCCCGACTACCCACGTCGGCTCTTCTAACCCAATACATCCTAGCAAATGATGCGGCACTCCCTGCTGCTCTTCAACCGTAATCTTATTCGTTATGATGGGAAGCCCAGCATACAACTGCATGGCATCTCCGTTGATGACTTCGCCATTATAGCGCTTAGCGAGCTCAACGGCTAGCTGGCTGCGGTGGTCAGTAGAAATATCTTCGTAAGGGTGGACAAGGTCATACTTGAGACTTGCCCGTGCCTGTCGCGCCGATGATTGCGATCAAAGGCTCACGAGATGGCTTCTGTGTCATGGTCGACAGACTGCGGATGGTATGCAGCCTTCGCAGCATCGAAATAGCATGCACGTGTCTTGGTGTGATGTCGCTGACATGTGAAAGTGATGCGTCATGCAAGGGCGGCAGATCGGCATCGTAACTGCCGGATTGGGACTACTATTCTTCAAGACGCCATCTAGACTTGACTTGACTCCTCTCATAAATACATCCACACACCTTCAAGAAAAAATTACAAGCCGCCACCATGTCCGACTCTCCAACCATCACCGTGAATAACCTCACCTTCACCTTCCCAGACAGCACCACAGGTCTAACAGACATCGCCCTCGACCTCCCAGCTGGCTCGCGAACCCTCCTCATTGGTGGTAACAAGACCCCTCCCCATAATACTTGTACATCCATGCTAAATCCTCAGAGCCAATGGCGCGGGCAAAACCACCCTCCTCCGTCTGCTAGCTGGCAAACGCATGGCCCCAGCCAACACCATCGCTTTATGCGGAGTCGACCCTTTCGACTCTCAAGTAGCAGGTGTGACCTACCTCGGCCTAGAATGGGTCCTCAACCCCATCGTACGTACCGACATCGCGGTCCCGGAACTCCTGAAAAGTGTAGGTGGTGATCACTACCCTGCCCGCCGGGACGAATTAGTCGATATCCTGGACGTGGATCTGACGTGGCGCCTTCACGCTGTCAGTGATGGCGAGCGCAGACGAGTACAGCTTTGTATGGGATTGCTGAGACCGTGGACTGTGTTGTTGCTAGATGAGATTACCGTGGATTTGGATCTTTTGAGCCGACATAACTTTCTCTCGTTCCTGAAACGCGAGACAGAGGCCAGGAGTTGCACCGTCGTGTATGCGACGCATATCCTTGATAATCTCGCGGCGTGGCCAACGCACTTGGCGCACATGTCGCAGGGCAAGGTTAAGAAGTGGGGTGGGATGGACGACTTTACTGTGCCTGAGACTAAAGGTGGCGCAGAGGGTAACTCTCGGCTAGGTCAATTGGTGCTGGGTTGGTTGAAGGAAGATCTCAAGGAGAGAGGGCCAAGGAGAGGTCAAGGTGGCGAGGGAAAAACCTACCCGAATTTGGAGGGCAAGGGAGGGTATGGCGCGGAGACGAAGGTTGAGGATTAGTACGTAAGTGTGGCCGAAATGAGAGCGAGCATTCAACGCTGGTTCTGCAAGTCTGGATGGACCGATGGGATGTCTCAACACGTTTTAGCGATGGAGTTTGGTAGTAAGCAGACAGCCTTCAACGCTGATCTGATCGATATGGATAACATGAGTTTACATGAGTTTTGGCAAACGCATTCATTCACTGCAGCTTACTTTGAGACAGCCATTGTGTGCTCTCGTAGCCATTAACGGACGCCATGCCAATGCATGGCTCTAAAAGTATACGCAGGTAGTGTCAAGAAGAGGAGATACTTACAATGCGACAGCGAAATTACAGGGGATCCGGTAGTATCCGGGCGGTATTGTGCTCGAAACCTGGTGGACAAGCATCGTCGACACGTCCCTTATCGATCCAGGAACAATACTTTGACGCTCTTGTCAACTCAACCTTGTCGAGCGGCTGGTCGTGTTCAACACCATATCTCCGAAGATACGGGCTCTTGACCAGTTGGCACTAGGGAGGTCCAATGCCAGGAGGTATCGCGCGCTAACGTGTGGTTAGGATTCAGCCGTATACGCGGACAGTGTTGCGGACCACATTCGCTTGAACGCTAGCAAAAGTACATCCTTGACCCGTCTCTCGTCGAACAAAAAGATTGTACTGTTGGACGCGACTGGATTCGAACCAACATCACTGTGCGAAGCGAGAGATGGACCACACAAGCGAATGAAGTGATCCATCGCACAGTATCATACCATTAGACCACGCTTCCTAATTACATATTCGAACAGTACTTAATAGTTATTATGTAGTGCGCGAAGTGCTAGCCGCTGTTACGCCGACGTTGCTGGTCCTGGGCCCGGATGGTAAGCACGGAGTGGGTTGTATCGTGGAAAGGTAAGCAGGTGGCGAATCATCTTGTGAACATCTCTCGCGACGTCCTTGGAGCATGGCGAGGCTGGATGGCGTTCAAATGTGATTGATGATCCTGTCCAGGTGACCAGGAATGGCCATTGATGCTTTGGTTCGGTCAGCCTCTCCTAGCTGCTGACCGTTGTGGATAACACATCGCCAAGTATACGAGCTCCTTGCGAGATGGTGCTGTGGAGCCGAAACTCCACGTTGGCAACGAATTATTTCCTTGACACTTGGAGGTGATCCTAACCATAGCGGCAACAACCGAGACGGTCGGTAGAAAGCACGTGCGTCTCTTTTACATGTCAGAAAATGCATGTGTCTTTCATCGCTGGCGTGGAGGTCTGTCTTCGATCGTATCCAATTGAGGCTGTGCGTGGCGACTACTACATTGCAGACCAGATATGTTGCCGAGAGAAGACTCAGGACTTTGAAGGGGACTCTGCCAGCTCTTTGAGCCGTGCATTTCGTATGGCTGCACGTATGGGGGTGAAAGAGTCATTGCGTGTGTCGTGTAGGCGTTGTCGGATGAAGGTGGTATGGACGAGCTGATGGTCATGTTCGAATTGACGTGTTTGGTGTCGGTCTGAAATTGCTGTGAAACCTTTTTCAGGAATGTTATTCTCTGTAACGAACTTCTTGATGGTGGCAAATGAAGGAAACTTAATAGCGATATGGTGAGGTGGTATGGATGTGAATGAGAGAGATTTAAAACAGTCCGCCAAAATACTCTCGCTTGCGCCATATTCGTTAGGTAGGTGCTATGTGTGTGCGTACGCCGGCAAGCTGAAGGGCAAGGTCACCATTGCCATAGGAGGTATGTACTGTTCGACCTCAAAACCGAATCGACACTTGTTGACATCTTCTTCTTCAGCCTCCGTCGGACTCGGCCGCTACGTCGCCAAAGCTTACGCCGCGGCCGGCTTAAGCATCGCCTACGTCGCCCGCCGTGAAGCCGATCTCAAGTCCCTAGTCGAGAGGAGATTAAGCAAGCTGGAGGCTACGCTATTGCCATCGTAGCCGATGTCGCGGAGCGAGGGCCACCGAAGCGCATCGTCTCCTAGACAGAGTCCGAGGTTGGTCCTGTCGACATCCTGGTCGTGCAAGCGTGGCACTTACAGTATCCGTAAAGCGGAGAGCATGGGATGACAACAGTGGTAAACCAGAATGAGTGATATCACAGCTGAGTATTCATACTCTCCGCCGTAACGAAGGCTCAAGTGCACCTCTAGTACACTACCTTAGTCTATTCGACCCATCCCTGACAGCAGGGACAGTGGTCCCACTCCTAGGCCGGTGACCCCTTCTCCTGCTCAGCATCGTTGATTTTCTTCTTCAACCACTCATCAGCACCTCTGAACATCCTCTTTGTGCCCTCAGGCACAATCGTTCCAGCAGCCTGGACACCAGCATTAACCGCACCCCACAGGCCCCAAGCTCTCTGTAGGTCCGCATCGAAATCAACAACATAATTGAACCACCCGCTAACGTCGTGCCTCTCCTGACCCGTCGTCCCTCCGATAGCCTTACACATCTCGTCCAACCAGCTCTTAACCACTAGACTGAGGCCGAGATCCGGTTCGCGTGTGAAAGGTAGCGAAGACCCGAACTCAGACATCTTCAGCTGTCCCACGGCTAGTCTGTCCACTGCACCAGAGAGCAGAAGCGCCGCAGCGTGCGAGTCGATGAGATCCCGTGCGCTTTCCCGGACAGAGGAAGCGAGTTGGTGGTATGCCAGTAGATGCCGAGATAATGGACCCGTGTAGCCTATACTGCGGTGGTGAAATCTCGCCAGTGTGCAGACCCGCGAGATGAGCAGGGTATTCGCTTTATCCTGGCTCGAGCCACGGATAGGACCACCGGAATAAGGAGGCACAGCGAACATATCCTCCGTATTCAGCATCCGGAGTCGCAACAACTCAAAAGCTAAGAAAATAGCCTCCTCCCCTTCTTCCACATCGCCCTCCTCGCTCTCGGCCTCGGCCAGAAAACCGTTGCGTCGACCTTCCTCGAGAGCAGTCTGTAATGCCGTACCCCACGATGAGAGACTATGGTCAGCTGCGTTCACGTAGCCAGCGTCCTGCAAGAAATGTAATGTCGTGTTGGCCAGCAGCTCCACAGGTTTGGAAAGCATAATAGGGGTTCCACTCTTCCTTTCAGTAATCGTCTTCTTGGCCTGTTCCGGAGATGATAGTAATGCCAAGCCCTTGCCTAACACACCTCTGCCTGATTTGCTCCACGCCTCACCCAGTGTGGCTGACGGGACATGCCATCCCGCCATGACAGCTTTCGCCTCCTCGAATCCCTCTCTCGCGGTGACCTCCCGTCCCTTGCCAGGTGCGTCGAACCACGCTTTGCTCTCGAAAGGAGCATGCTGAAAGTAGCGGTTGAGGTTGACAGCCATAGCCGAAAGTGCTTTCACGCGTTGCGGCATCAACTTATTTTCCACTACATCCCTGTACGCCGCTGACATCCCTCCATCCAGCGGTGGCAACTCCAAGCTCTGGCGATGCGCACTCCAGTCTAACACCCTTGGTCCGCAGACACCGCGAGCAAGGTAATGGTAAAGCTCATCTGGTAATCGTTGACCGGTGAAAGCGTGGACGTCGCCGGGAGCGTGCTCCTGGTTCTTCGTGATGACTTGTCCGGTAGTGGTAGTGTAAACTGGGAATCGCAAAAAGGCTTTGGCTTGTTGGAACGCTGTAAGGTATTCTGGGTCTCGCGTAGCTGGGTTCTGTCCTTGGGTGAGAAGGAAAGCATGGCCGTCGCCGCGGAATTGTTGGGTCAGGATTCCGCGCAACACGCCGATCTCGAAGGGTTCCATGTTCACCGGGTTCATGAGCGGCGGGAGTAGTTGTGGCACGCAGCCCGAGAGGAGGAGTAAGTCCGAGAAGGCGTCCAAGGTGAACATTGTTTTTCCTTGGCAGGTGGCGGAGTCGACCCATGATACTGTTCCTGCGGAGAAATCAAGGGATGTAATGACTTTATCCGCTCCAAAGACCAGGGGCGCGGCGGATGCTACGATGCCATCGCAGAAGCCATCTTGCAGCAGGTGTATCAGCTGAGCTGCAGCGCAGTAGGGTGCTGTGCGAACGGTGATGCCTTGATGGTGCAGGTGGGCGAAAAGCCAGCGGAGGATGTGGCTGGTCTTATACGTGCCTGCATGTTTAAATCAGCCTTGTGTTGGATATTGGGAGGTAGGAGACGAACAGGCTTTCCCGAACGCGTTCACAGCCTCTTCTCCACGTCCTTGATCGTATATCCGCCATGCATCGTCCAAGACTTTACTTGCGCGCTTGGCTTCCCGCTCGCGCATCTTTCCATCTATACTCGCTGCGCTCAAGCCGTTGAACACGAATATTGGCTTGATACCCGCATCTTTCAGATTCTGCAAATCCTCATCTACATGTTTCTGTAATGCGAACGGCAGGCCTCCTAGCGCTGGCAGAAGTGGTTCGCGCGTGAGTGTCGCGGTTAGCAGGTTGTCGAGGTAGTCTTCTGCGTCGAATGCGAGGCAGGACTTTCTGAATGCTGTAAGCTCGCAGGTGGAAAGGAGTTGCTCAGCCGCAACCCAGTGTCGAAAATTTGCCATGTCGGTTGTAGCAATATCAGAGTGATGTGTGGTGTATGGGAGAGTGCGAGGTGGAGTTGGAGGTGAGCTACGTTGTGCATGAAGCTAATATATGCTAAAAGCAAGGTTCGCGCCGCAGCGAGTGCTCCGCAATGCCAAGGCGTATCACATGTCAAGGAAATGGATGGGTGTATGGCAGAAGAGGCGAGGAGCTCGACAGTGATAAAATTTGAAATTCGGCTCACGACGATCCCTAAAACACGGGTAGTGTCTTCATACTAAAGTTGGCTACTACAGCCACTGTAATAGTACGTGAAATCTAAGGGAGGCGGCAAATCAAGTTGACGGATTGTCATATTCTGCTATGACGACTCAATCACCAGCATTACCCAGAAGGCAAAGCTGTTTTGATCAGGTTACTTGAATGCAACCTATGCTCTGACGTTACCCATCGAGAAGCAACGCCAGCGAACTCCTCCTTCGTGCCGTGCTCAGAGATTCACAGTCGATAAGAGAACTCAGTCAAAACCCTCCTTCCCTCTTGCACCTCCCAATATTCATCGCTTCTTCAAAAACGATCTTCTGCGCCTCAACATACATAGTCGGCTCCGCAGCCTGGAACTCAGCAGCACTATTATATTCCGTCGTCGTGAGAACATACTCGTCGCTGAGAGTTGGCAACATCAAATCAGTCTGCTTGCCTGCCTTGCGATAGGTGTCCTTCTCGACTCCAGCAACCTCGCGATGTCGTTGTTGTAATGCAAGATCTTTGCTCCTGTTGTCGTGAACGTGAGGGTTCGGATTGTGGATCAGTGGTACGGATCTCTTGACGGTTGTCTTCCGGGTAGGCGACTTCACAGATGATCTCTGCACGTTAGCCTGTCTCGGCTGTAGGCGTTTCGATATCTTCGTCGACTGCGAAGGCCTGAATCTGTTAGCAACCGGTGATCTCTGCCTCGCATTAGCTCTGCGGCCACTCTCGGCATGTCTGAACTCGGCAAATATTTTGTCATAGCAGGCTATATGCGCCTCCATCTTACGCTGAAGCGCCTCCGTCTTACGCTGAATGTCCCTGTTTAGCCATGCTCGGAAGGCAGATGGGTTTCGAAGCGCGCTCGGCTCGGGGTCATGATCTGAAGGTGCGGAGTTAGTGTCGCTCTCGACACGTCTGTTCTCGACACGTCTGTTCTCGACACGTCTGTTCTCGACACGTCTGTTTTCGACACTGCCCCCCTCGGCATTATAGTTGTCCTCGAATGCAATTACGCGCAAATCATTTCTGTCCA